CCTTCTGCACAGGTACCAACATCTCCAAATTCTCTTGAGAGAGTTCATGACCCCTGCTGCCAGGCCAATCCGTCTGTTGACTTCCTGGTCTGACAGCCCAGAGTTATGAACTACACTACCAAGGTATGTAAAGCTCTCTGTGACTTCAATGTCCTCGCCGCAAGCACATACTGACTGGACAGGTTCTCCTGACAAGTCCCCAAAGTCCTGGACCTTGGTCTTGGTCCAGACCTCTAGACCCAAGGGTTTCGATTCATTGCTAAATGCATCGAGAGCCACCACTAAGGTTTCCAAAAACTCAGATAGAATAGCAACATCATCAGCAAAGTCAAGGTCTGTAACCTTGATATTGCCCAGCGTTGCTCCACAATGACGTTGAATAGTAGCTCTGCCCAGTATCCAGTCCATGCAAGTGTTGAAAAGAGTTGGCACAAGGACACAGCCTTGCCTCACTCCTGAACTAACAGGAAAGAAGCTCAACATGCCCCCACCACACTTTACAGAACTTTCAGTACCAGTATACAGGCTTGCTATTAGTCCAATTATCGTTGTTGGAATTCCTGTCTCAAGATCTCCCAGAGTGATTTCCGATGCACCGTATCGAACGCCTTCTTGAGGTCGATGTGGGCCTGTAAGCAGCCCACGCCCGAACTCACAGCAGCGCTCTACAATGACTCAAAGCACAAGGATACGGTTTATTGTGGACTTACCAGAAGTGAATCCGGATTGCTCCAGTCTCTGGTGCCTCAGCAGATGGTCTCTGATACATTTCAGAAGGATGCGGGTGAGAACCTTGCCTGGTATACTGAGCAGTGTGATGCCTCAGTGATTGCTGCAGTCCCAATGGTCCTCCTTCCCCTTCCAAAGAGGGATGACATACCCCTCAACAGGTCAGGAGGAACGGTACCGGACCACCAGATGGCAGCTAGGACAGCATGTAACCCCCCCACCATAGGTTCACCACCAGCCTTTAATAGTTCAGCTGGTATGCCGCAGATACCTGCTGCTTTACCACTCTTCAGCTTGGAGATCACCCCCTTAACTTCAGTTAGGGAGGGAGGATCCTCACGGGATCTCGGCACTACCCATATCCAAGTTAACTGTTGGAGGGTCAACCAGGTACAGCTGGTCAAAATACTCAGCCCAACGTTCCCGCACCGCAACAGGATCTCAAACGATCTGACCACTTACTAAGCGAACTGCTGTCACCTGTACAGAGGGCTAGGAGTTCAACTTTCTCAGGGCTTGGTATGCAGGACGAAGGTCATTTACTAAGAAATGGCCCTCTACCTCCTCTGCAAGACTCCTAATAAAGTGTTCCTTGTCTCTTCTTAACAGAGACCGAGTTCTGCGCACATGAGAACAGTGCAGTTCCTGATCCCCTGTCAGACGAGCTGCATGACAAGCATCTGAGGTTCAGCCTCGGGCAGTCACTCCAGGTGGATGCCACCTCTGCCACCCCCGCCGACGCTGTCCCATATAAAAGGGGGTGGTGGGCTGCGGGCCCCATCATCCACCTGTGGGGTTCCAAGGGCTTTCCCCCACAAGCTTCACTCTGAGCTGGCGGCTGCCAGAACGCAGGCGAGACGAGTAGTTCCTGTTCCCAGCCTGTGCTCCAACAGTCGCCCTCCCAGCATGGCCCATAGTCCGCCTCACTTGCAGGTAGGACTTTTCCCCCTCCTCCCAGCATGGCCCATAGTCCGCCTCACTTGCAGGGTAGGAGGGACTTTTCCCCCTCCTCCCAGCCTTTCCATTTATACCAAACATTGCCAATTGGTTATATCTGGGGGGAGGAGGACTGGCAAGGCCCACCTCCCCTGAGCCTCCCATTAACCCCAGGAGGCTTACGGGCAGGAGTTGGTACAGGGCCAGGGCGTGTCCACATGACGCTGGGCCATGACCCTGATCCTCTGGGGCCTCCTGCTGTTCCGAGATCCCCCATAGTTTAGCCTGGGACCGCAAGGTACCCAGTTTCCATGAGAGGGCACGAGGAGGCACTGCAGGTCTCGATGATGAGAGGCTGTGCACTAACTGGGGGAGGCTTATGCAGGGTTGCTCCCTTTTTCGCACTAGGCTAGCCAGCGTTGGCAGCTGCAAGGGAGAAGGCATGCAAGTACTTAATACTAACTAGACTACCACACCATCACTTCACATCACCCTGTGCGTGAAGCACCCACCCACACATACACACAAAATCATATTTTGTTATTCAATGTTTAGTTTTTTTCCCCTGATCACTCAAAAAACATCTTTTTCTTAACATTTTCCTCCCCAAATCACGTTTTTTCTTGTATTGTTATTAAATTTTTATTTTTTTCCGATCACCAAAAAAAAAAAAAATTAAGTTTTTTTCCTCCCAAAATCATGTTTTTTCAAGTATTGTTATTCAACTTATAATTCCCCCCCCCCCCCGATTTACAGATCAACAACGCGGGAATACCAGGCTATACCACAAAGAAGTTGACTCCCGAGGGTTTAGAGTTAGCAATGGCGACCAACCACTTTGGCCACTTCCTTCTGACAAATTTGCTCTTAGGTGGGTCTCGACGAGTTAGTGTTCCTTGCTGATACTGCTGATCAAAGCGGTTTTCTCAATTTTCTTTGTGAAAGAAAGAGTGAGTGAGGGAGGAAGGGAATACAATGGAGGAAAGCGAGAGAAAGAATGAGAGTGAGTGAGGGAGGAAGGGAATACAATGGAGGAAAGCGAGAGAAAAAAAGAAAGAGAACTAGATAGAGATTGAGATATAGGCAGAGAATATGTACAGTACTTACATACATACATCCATAGATTAGGCAGGTTGATAGATACATCAACTTGGTAAGGTTAAATGAAAATATTTGATTTGCATATACGTCTCAATTTCCACTCGTAAATTTTCTATGACGATACTGAGAAAAAGTGTATGCACGTATATTTTTATTTGCAGAATGTGCGATAGATTGTACTTTGTGGCAACTATCACATGTGTATTCTTCGGTTGTCCCAATTTTCGATAATATGCTGATTTGTAAGATTTCAACTCCAAGGGAGGAAATCTCGTTCAAGATAAACTTTAAAGAGATAAAATTTGACAGCAAACAAATTGTGTCGAAGAAACGGTCGGAGGGGAAGTCCATTCTAGATCTAAAATATAAGTAAACGAATTTGTTATGCTAATTTATCCCAATTTTATTATATCTATTTAAATCATTATTTATTTCCTTTTTTATTTTATTTATTACAAATTTTAGAAGCATAATATTGTAAAATAGATATCAGTTTACATATATTTGAAAGAATATTAACTATAACTGAGAAAGCAGAAGACTATATTTTAGGGGTAACTACTATATACAAGGTTTGTGCTACCACATTCTTGAAGAATATATTTGAGTTAAATCAGCGACTCATTTATGTTTTTATTTGATTAGTAATTAATAGAAAGTATGTTTTATTGCATTAAAAATGAAAAGGGTATAGACATAAATGATTCTTTTCTCAAGATACATATGAATTATAGAAAAACGAAAATATACCAGGGGTAACTATTATTAATGTTGACGCCATACATTTGCTCCATATTTTTGCGAATTTCTTATCTATAAAATCTTATTTACTACCAAATGTGTGTATTTGCGTGGGCGTGCACGCACACACACATACAAACACATATATATTTATCCATCTATGTGTGTGTGTGTGAGAGAGAGAGAGAGAGAGAGAGAGAATGAGTGAGTGTGTATGTGTGTGTGTGTGTGTGTATGTGCTATACCCATATCAGTTATAAACGGGCATATAGATATAGAGGGGAAGTGATGCTCACCTTTTGCATTCGCCTTTCGCTAGACCTCCTGAAGGCGAGCGCTCCCAGCCGCGTGGTCAACGTCAGTTCCAACTCCCACTGGATGTGTCACAACCTGGACACCAACGACCTCAACTACAAATGGAGACCTTTCCCGGGTTGGCTCCCGTCCTACGGCCAGAGCAAACTGTCGAACATCCTCTTCACGCTAGAACTCAGCCGAAGAGTTAGAGGGACAGGTACGCTTTGCAGCATTGAATGACATTATATCATGCAGTAGATTGCAGATAATTGGCGGTTTTTTTTTCGCTGATAACAAGAAAAATATGTTTTAGAGGAAGAATTTTACAGTGTGATATTTTGAAGTAAAAAATCAAGTTGATTATGGCCTAAATACACCACGTTTACACGCCTACATTAACGTCCATGGCAGGAGTTACAACCAACAGCGTTCACCCCGGCGTGGTGAACACAGAGATCTTCGGGAAGGAAGGCTGGAGGATTGTGAACTTACCCGCTATCCTAGCTGCCTGGATCATGGCCAAGGTGACGTTTCTGTTGACTTTTGGGTTATTTTATGATAATAGGATGTAGATTGTTATGGCGTTATGGTTGGATCTTGAAAATAATAAGTACGGTGTTTCGCAGGACGAGAAACTGGGAGCCCAACCAGTCATCTACTTGGCGGTGTCTGAGGAAGTGGACACTGTGTCTGGGAAGTACTTCGTCGACTGCAAGGTAGGTCACTGGTTAGATTACGAGGGTTTCTGAAATCCAGAAGGTTAGCTATTGCAAACGTGCGCACACACACCCACAACGATAACTAGAAATATGATCCAAAAATCAACTGAGTAACTTAAGAAGGAAACTTGAATAGTTTAATATAATTTACACACACACACACACACACACACACACACACACACACACACACACACACACACACAACACACACACACACACACACACACACACACACACACACACACACACACACACACACAACACACACATACACACACAAACACACACACACACACACACACACACACACACACACACAGACACACGTATATATATATATATTATATATATATATATATATATATATATATATATATATATATATGTGTGTGTGTGTGTGTGTGTGTGTGTGTGTGTGTGTGTGTGTGTGTGTGTGTGTGTGTGTATTATATATATATATATATAATATATATA